GTGATCCTGTGGTCCCGGGTTCGATCCCAGGCGCCGGCGAGAAACAATGGGCAGAGTTTCTTCCACCCTATGCCCCTGTTACCTAGCAGTAAAATAGGTACCTGGGTGTTAGTCAGTTGTCACGGGCTGCTTCCTGGGGGTGGAGGCCTGGTCGAGGACCGGGCCGCGGGGACACTAAAAAGCCCCGAAATCATCTCAAGATAACCTCAAGATAACTGTCCTTGAATGAAGTGAATGCACATTCTCTGCCGCAATTCTACAAAAAAAAAACATTACACAAACCTCAACATATGCCGTAGATCCATTAAGCAGCGGACCCCACTCTCAGTGGTCGATGTAAATAGGTGATGCCTTTGAAGCTTTAGAATAGAGTGGTTCACGTATTATGTTGATCCTCTTTCCCCCACTCCTTAGTGCCGGTAAAGGCTTCGGCTTAACCGTCTGGGGAGTTGGACTCTTTGATACTGAGAAAGATGGTTTCCCAGAGTCCCTGAGTGCATCTTTACGATCGAGAGAGTTAGGGACCTTGGAGTTGTCTGGGCGACTTGGTGATATGAATTTAACTTTCTAAAAATGACAACTGGTTCATGACTTTGTGTGTGTGTGTGTGTGTGTGTGTGTGTGTGTGTGTGTGTGTGTGTGTGTGTGTGTGTGTGTGTGTGTGTGTGTGTGTGTGTGTGTGTGTGTGTGTAAGAAATATGGGTAGTCCATGCACCACTGTTTTCCCTATTCTCATATCAGATATAGACAAAAATATAAGTCACAGCTTCGTGTCATCTGAAAATATGACACAAAAATCAGCATGAAAATTACTTCTATAGAAGATATTAAAAATTACAAGCTGATATTAATAAAGTTTTCGATTGGGCAGCAGAAAATAACATTACTGTAGCTTTAAAAGTGATAAATTCCAGGTACTTAAGGTATTGTAAAAAATTAAGACCTTAAACAAAATACAGGGTACAAAATACAATAAAAAATGCCTATAGTAGGATAGCAATATGTAAATAGTCTCTGGGAATAATGATGCCTGACTACCTAACGATTAGGGACCATAACCAAGCAAATATTGCGCCAGCTAGAACAAATTTAGTATGCATTACTAGAACCTTCAAAATCCAGGGATCCCATCCAAATGCTACCTTGATGCTCATCTGGGTATATGCTCATACTATTCAAATCACAAATTCAAATCACATCACAATTTGTTGTGAGTTTAAGTGTCCTTCATGACCTCTACTTCAATTTAGTTCAACTTGCTTATCACTCTCGCCCTCTTCTACACTTGTACTCATAAACCTATGAGTTGAAACTTACTAAAACACCTTTAACAGATGAATCCAGTCATAACTCTCCACTCGAAAGTTTTCGTCAAACGAAAAGAAAAACAATCTATTGGGGTTCACGACTCCACAGATGATTCTTTGAAGTACTAGAGATCAAAGGCATTGAGAAACAACCATAGGCTGGTTGTCCATTTCGCAGGAGACAAGGATGTAGTGACGCAGGAAAAAGAGGCGCAAGTTTGTAGCAGGAGACTAATGGCGCGCACTTAGAAGTGAAGTTAGGTGAAATGATCACAAGAACGGCTTTCCTCAGAATTCCCCAAATAATATTTGTAGAGGAGAAGGTGCCAAAGATATCTAGGCCACTCAGCGCCCGCTCCTGTGAAGGGGGGTGGGGGCGACGCCAGCTCCTATGAGGGGATGGGGGGCCCTCAGCATCAGTGAGGGAACCTCAGCGCCCCTCTCATCAAGTGATTTATCCCCGGACTCGGGTCTCGTTAGCCGTTATCACTGCACGCCTGTATAGACGAATGAAAAAGGCCCCGGATGAATACGATTTACCCCCACTGGCACTCTCCCCTCCCTGGCCAACACACACTTTTAGAGTTCTATTAATTTGTTTAATACATTTCCTGACGTGGGGCGTATAGACCGTGGCGGCGACGGGTCGGCCTGGTGGTGGGCCGGCCACAGCAACACAGGACGTGTCCCCATGGGCCGGCCACAGCAACACAGGACGTGTCCCCATGGGCCGGCCACAGCAACACAGGACGTGTCCCCATGGGCCGGCCACAGCAACACAGGACGTGTCCCCATGGGCCGCCCAGAACTCTCCTTGATGGCCAATGTTGTAATGACAAGTATTACAACAGTCAGGCTGTTGGGACGTGCAGCGTGCATTGTAACGTAGACAAATGTATTATGTATATATATCAGTATTATAAAATGTTGGTGGATACAGTGCAGGAGGTGGTAATGATGGTGGTCAATATGATATGTTTATCATTTAACTGCAAAAAGTTGAGGTAGCTACAGAGGACATACAGTAGGCTGGACACCCGGTGGTGCCCGGGTCCATCCGGCCAGCCTAAAACTCTCTTTGTTTCTGTTTTTCTGTTTGACTTGTAGTGTGAGTGTGTACTCGCCTATTTGTACTTACCTATTTGCGCTTGCGGGGGCTGAGCTCTGGCACTTTGGTCCCGCCTCTCAACCGTCAATCAACTTGTGTACAGGTTCCTGAGCCTATTTGGTTCTGTCATAATTACACTTGAAACTGTGTATGGAGTCAGCCTCCACCACATCACTGCCTAATGCATTCCATTTGTCAACCACTCTGACGCTAAAAAAAATTCTTTCTAATATCTCTGTGGCTCATTTGAGTACTCAATTTCCACCTGTGTCCCCTAATGCGTGTGCCCCTTGTGTTAAATACCCTATCTTTATCTACCCTGTCAATTTCTCTAAGAATCGTGTACGTGGTGATCATGTTCCCCCTAACTATTCTGTCTTCCAACGACGTGAGGTTTAATTCCCGTAGTCTCTCCTCGTAGCTCATACCTCTCAGCTCGGGTACTAGTCGGGTGGCAAACCTTTGAACCTTTTCCAATTTAGTCTTATGCTTGACTAGATATGGACTCCATACTGGGGCTGCATACTCCATGACTGGTCTGACATAGGTGGTATACAAAGTTCTGAATGATTCCTTACATAAGTGTCTAAATGCGAGTCTCTGTGCGAGCGCGTTTGCGCGTGTGCGTTTGTGTGTAAATTTTGGGGCAGCTACAGTGTTCAGACGGAGCTATCGCACGGATACCGTAGTTTTTGTAGACACAAATATTAAAATCAAAAGCACCAAGAGAGGGCACCAGGTCGGAAAGACTAGCAATAAAAAGCGAAAATAGTCAGATATCCCTTTTAGATATCCCTTCAGATATCTTATTTGAACAGCATCCCCCCCCCCAAAAAAAAAATAATAATAGATCAAAACACAAGTATAATAACAATTATTTGAATAATTAAACTGTTATATTATCATCATCTCTACAATAATTAACTATCATCATTTCCGGATTTTATTAACCATACAGGAATAGTTATTGTGAAATATACAAGATGGGGGACGCCTTACCGCTAATACAACCGATACTCAGTGTATTAGGGCTTGGAACCCGGCCCAACCTGACCCCTAGTGATTAGAGGGAGCGTGTGTGAATGCACTCAGCCCAAAGTAACTGGTGCATTCTCTGGTGGTGCATTCCCTGCGGCTGGGTCAGCACGCCCACAGCTGCAGTGAAGCAAACAGAATGCTTGTGTAACACTTGGACTTGTGGGGGGGGGGGGGCGTAGGAAAGGAGGGGTGGCACTGGGAAGGAAGGGGAGAGAGATTGAAAGGAGAGCGGGTAAGAGGGGATGTGGTTATCATTTGAAAGGCGTTAAGCGAAGTGAGGGGTTAAGAGGAGAGGGGGTTAATAAGAGAGATGGTTAAGAAGAGAGGGGCGAAAAGAGAAGGGGAAGCGGGAGAGAGAGAGGGGGGGGGGTTAAGAGGGAGAGGTGGGAAGAAGAGAGAGGGGGGGAGTGTGTGAGAGCAAGATAACAACCGTTGCGGCACACTTACGCGTGCCCCGCTTAAATGCCAATAGAAATTGCCCCGTGATGACCCAGACACCCGGACAGGTAGGTCAAATGGTCCACTCTCCCGCTCACCGGAGGATGGAGGCATACAACGTTACCCCCCCCCCCCCTCCGTCCCGTCCCCCCTTCCTCCTCCTCATCATCACCTTCCTCCTCCTCCTCCATCTCCTCCTCCTCCTCCTCCTCCCTGAGTTACCGTCGATATCACGGTAAAATATTCCCTCCAGCTAGGAACAGGAAGAGAGTAACGAGTCAACGTGAATTAAAATGAGTGAGAAATGTAAACAAAAATGAAAAAGAAAATGGCAAAGAGACAGGCAGAGCTTGATAAAACGATATGGGAAGGATGTGAAAAACTCCTGAAAAACTGTAGTACACAAGGACCTCACAATACCGTGGAAATCACTGGAGCAGGACGGGGGATCGAACTAATGTCCTGAGGGTCACCCCAGACGCACGTCTCTATCAGCTGAAGTTTTTTAAGCTTTGGGCTAACAAAGTAACTAATATGTTGACCAGACCACCACACACACTAGAAGATGAAGGGACGACGACGTTTGGGTTCGTCCTGGACCATCCTGGACCACAATCGACTTGAGAATGGTCCAGGACGGACCGAAACGTCGTCGTCCCTTCACCTTCTAGTGTGTGGTCTGGTCAACATAATTTAGCCACGTTATTGTGACTCGTCGCCTGCACAAGTAACTAATAACTCCTGAAGCAATAAGCAGATATATTAAATGTAGAGCTGGTAAAAAAAAACCCAACCCAAACACCCCGTAGCTTTACCAAGCATCGCTACTCCCAAATAAGTACCGTGTGAGGGGCTGGAGCTCGGCCATTATAAAAATATACATATCTTTGCTCTAATTTATTATGCCCATAGTCGGGTAAAATGAAGCTAATATTTCTATCTTTCTTGCGGCATATAAAACTCTTTACGTTTATTAACGAATCTGCTGAAATAAGTATTATTCTGAAATGAATATTGTGGGTTACGAGCTCCCGGGACCGAAGTCCCAAATATGTACACTAAGGTGCATTTTGGTAGTATGGAGCGTCCACGGGAACATGTAAACACACTCAGTCCAAATTATTACTGAAGTTACTTGAACTTCTCTTTAAGTAATATACTATCTCTGGTGGTGCATTCTCTGGTGGTGCATTCCTTGATGGTGCATTCTCTGGTGGTGCATTCTCTGGTGGTGCATTCTCTGGTGGTGCATTCCTTGATGGTGCATTCTCTGGTGGTGCATTCTCTGGTGGTGCATTCTCTGGTGGTGCATTCTCTGGTGGTGCATTCCCTGGTGGTGCATTCCCTGATGGTGCATTCTCTGGTGGTGCATCCTCTGGTGGTGCATTCCCTGGTGGTGCATTCTCTGGTGGTGCATTCTCTGGTGGTGCATTCTCTGGTGGTGCATTCTCTGGTGGTGCATTCTCTGGTGGTGCATTCCCTGATAGTGCATTCTCTGGTGGTGCATTCTCTGGTGGTGCATTCTCTGGTGGTGCATTCTCTGGTGGTGCATTCCCTGATGGTGCATTCTCTGGTGGTGCATTCTCTGGTGGTGCATTCTCTGGTGGTGCATTCTCTGGTGGTGCATTCTCTGGTGGTGCATTCCCTGATGGTGCATTCTCTGGTGGTGCATTCTCTGGTGGTGCATTCCCTGGTGGTGCATTCCCTGATGGTGCATTCTCTGGTGGTGCATTCTCTGGTGGTGCATTCCCTGATGGTGCATTCCCTGGTGGTGCATTCCCTGATGGTGCATTCCCTGGTGGTGCATTCCCTGATGGTGCATTCTCTGGTGGTGCATTCTCTGGTGGTGCATTCTCTGGTGGTGCATTCATTGGTGGTGCATTCTCTGGTGGTGCATTCTCTGGTGGTGCATTCTCTGGTGGTGCATTCTCTGGTGGTGCATTCTCTGGTGGTGCATTCCCTTGTGGTGCATTCTTTGGTGGTGCATTCTCTGGTGGTGCATTCCCTGGTGGTGCATTCTCTGGTGGTGCATTCCCTGATGGTGCATTCTCTGGTGGTGCATTCTCTGGTGGTGCATTCTCTGGTGGTGCATTCTCTGGTGGTGCATTCCCTGATGGTGCATTCTCTGGTGGTGCATTCTCTGGTGGTGCATTCCCTGGTGGTGCATTCCCTGGTGGTGCATTCCCTGATGGTGCATTCTCTGGTGGTGCATTCCCTGGTGGTGCATTCTCTGGTGGTGCATTCCCTGGTGGTGCATTCCCTGATGGTGCATTCTCTGGTGGTGCATTCCCTGGTGGTGCATTCCCTGGTGGTGCATTCTCTGGTGGTGCATTCTCTGGTGGTGCATTCCTTGATGGTGCATTCTCTGGTGGTGCATTCTCTGGTGGTGCATTCTCTGGTGGTGCATTCCCTGGTGGTGCATTCCCTGGTGGTGCATTCTCTGGTGGTGCATTCTCTGGTGGTGCATTCTCTGGTGGTGCATTCTCTGGTGGTGCATTCCTTGATGGTGCATTCTCTGGTGGTGCATTCCCTGATGGTGCATTCTCTGGTGGTGCATTCTCTGGTGGTGCATTCCTTGATGGTGCATTCCCTGGTGGTGCATTCCCTGGTGGTGCATTCCCTGGTGGTGCATTCTCTGGTGGTGCATTCTCTGGTGGTGCATTCTCTGGTGGTGCATTCCCTGATGGTGCATTCCCTGATGGTGCATTCCCTGGTGGTGCATTCCCTGATGGTGCATTCTCTGGTGGTGCATTCTCTGGTGGTGCATTCCTTGATGGTGCATTCCCTGGTGGTGCATTCCCTGGTGGTGCATTCCCTGGTGGTGCATTCTCTGGTGGTGCATTCTCTGGTGGTGCATTCTCTGGTGGTGCATTCCCTGGTGGTGCATTCTCTGGTGGTGCATAACAGCCATACATTGTTACCTGTTGACGATTTCGTGAGTGGTTATACTCCCACGGCCTGACCTGTAGCGAACCTTTTCTTCAGTATTAACTGACTGGACCCCCATTCATCAAACATTTACACAACAATCCCTTAGAAAATACACATATATCTTCAGCAATCATGGCGGCTTTGATCACATTGATCAAACAGTTTACCTCACCTGGCGGTACACACCATAACCCAGCACCTCACACAACAACACATAAGCTGCAACACCTCTACAGGACAATACACAAGCTACAACACCACCAACGGGACAATACACAGCCTCAACACCACCAACGGGACAATACACAGCCTCAACACCACCAACGGGACAATACACAGCCTCAACACCACCAACGGGACAATACACAGCCTCAACACCACCAACGGGACAATACACAGCCTCAACACCACCAACGGGACAACACACAGCCTCAACACCACCAACGGGACAACACAAGCCTCAACACCACCAACGGGACAATACACAGCCTCAACACCGCCAACGGGACAACACACAGCCTCAACACCACCAACGGGACAACACAAGCCTCAACACCACCAACGGGACAATACACAGCCTCAACACCACCAACGGGACAATACACAGCCTCAACACCACCAACGGGACAACACAAGCCTCAACACCACCAACGGGACAATACACAGCCGTGCAACAAGGCCCTTAATATCAAGGAGGGAAATTTTCAATACTAAAATGGTGTCGCCCCTGCTTGGGTATTCTGGTCGCCCACGACCATAAAAACAAATTGCTTATGCGATCTACATACGCTAACAAGCGGACCCCTCCTCTGCAAGCACCCTTGTCTCTCCGCAAGCACCCTTGCTTCTCCGCAAGCACCCTTGCTTCTCCGCAAGCACCCTTGCTTCTCCGCAAGCACCCTTGCTTCTCCGCATCCACCAGTGTCTCTCCGCAATCACCCGTGCCTCTTCGCAACCACCAATGTCCGTTTTCAAGCACCCTGCCTCTCCGCAAGCACTATGTCTCTCCGCAAGCACCAATGTGTGTCTGCAAGCACCACTGTATCTCCACAAGCACCCTATATTAATATTCAGAACAATAACGTCACAAATAAAAACACAGCGAACAAATGAAAAGAGTCAACTGTGAATTTAGGAAAACAGTGGCGGCCAAAATGGACCACGGGGGAAAAATGAGATATAGTACTCCATTAGGCTTTGCATTAAACCAATCTGCTAAAATGTAAATATCATTATTTGATTATATAAAAGTCCGCCGCTTCTCTCTCTTTCCCAGTTTGTAACCAATGACAATTTGTCACACATTCCACGTCCACAAAACTGTTTGTAATCACGTCTCGCTATAAATGATTTTTGGATGTCGCTATTTGAATGAAATGCCGCCTAAAATTACATTTATTTACCAGCCACTTGTCCTTGTCGGCACAGCCCTCGCTTCATGTAGGTCTGCGTTCGATCCCCGATGGTCCAAAAGGCTGGATATCGTCCCTTCACTCCATCCCCCTATTCTGTCCTCACATCCCTTACATGGGCTATATAGTCATCTTGGCTTAGCACTTTCTCGTAATTTCCTTTGCTCTCTTGTTTCTTTGGTGGTTCAGGGTTCGGGCTTAATTGTAAACACCTGCATATAATCAACATTGGCTTTTGGACTTTCGCTCGTCCGCAAAAAGCTTGAGTTGCACCCAGTATGCCCAAAATGCTGTGTTGTACCAAGTATGCCCAAAATGCTGTGTTGTACCCAGTATGCCCAAAATGATGTGTTGCACCCAGTATGCCCAAAATGATGTGTTGCACCCAGTATGCCCAAAATGCTGTGTTGTACCCAGTATGCCCAAAATGCTGTGTTGTACCCAGTATGCCCAAAATGATGTGTTGCACCCAGTATGCCCAAAATGATGTGTTGTACCCAGTATGCCCAAAATGTTGTGTTGTACCCAGTATGCCCAAAATGCTGTGTTGTACCCAGTATGCCCAAAATGATGTGTTGCACCCAGTATGCCCAAAATGATGTGTTGTACCCAGTATGCCCAAAATGATGTGTTGCACCAAATATGCCCAAAATGATGTGTTGCACCAAATATGCCCAAAATGCTGTGTTGCACCCAGTATGCCCAAAATGCTGTGTTGTACCCAGTATGCCCAAAATGTTGTGTTGTACCCAGTATGCCCAAAATGTTGTGTTGTACCAAGTATGCCCAAAATGATGTGTTGCACCCAGTATGCCCAAAATGCTGTGTTGCACCCAGTATGCCCAAAACAGTTCACCAACCCACAAAAGTTCACCAACTTCCAGATAACTATTTTCTGCCAGGTGAACAGGTGCATCGGGTGTAATAAAACGTGCCCAAATGTCTCTCCCTGTTGGAGAATCGAACCCGGGACCAATCATTCGTCAGTCGACGCCCTAAACACCAGCTACATTTAAATATAATATTTTTATTCTAACCAAAAAAAAAAAACACATTTTGAAGCATTGAAATAGTTAAAAAATTGAAGATAAAGTCGCACAAACCTCTCCACAACAGCCCAGTGGAACGGGTTCCCGAAAATAATAAAGCCCGTTAAAATACCCTTTCCATATTTTTTTTTATAAAAGGTATATATAAAAATATATTTTTTAGATACACAACAAATTCATTAACTTTGATAAATTCTCTAGGGAAAGGGGCCGGCCTGGCTAATTGATCCCCGCCCCCCCCCCCAATACCTCGCCCACGAGGCTAGGATAATATTTGAATTTTTTTATCAAAACTTTTTTTTGTGGTCCTGGATTATGCATATGAGTAATATGTATATATATTTTACCTGTTCAGCTGACTATCTCCGCCCGTACATTTCCCAGTTAGGAGAGAAACGGCTGGGCATTGTTATTCATAGTCCTGAGGTTCCGGGTTCGATCCCCGGTGGAGGCGGAGACAAATGGGCAAAGAGTTTTTTTAACTACGGGCTCACCATAGCCCGTGCTACTTGGAACTTTTTGTTCCAAGTAGGGAAGCTTAAACAACATGGCTGGGCATGTTTTCTTTTACCTGATGCCACTGTACATACCGTCACAGTGACAGTGTTGGGCACCGTCACTCATCCTGTGAGTGAACACACCGTCACAGTGACAGTGTTGGGCTCCGTCACTCATCCTGTGAGTGAACACACCGTCACAGTGACAGTGTTGGGCACCGTCACTCATCCTGTGAGTGAACACACCGTCATAGTGACAGTGTTGGGCTCCGTCATTCATCCCGTGAGTGAACACACCGTCACAGTGACAGTGTTGGGCTCCGTCACTCATCCCGTGAGTGAACACACCGTCACAGTGACAGTGTTGGGCTCCGTCACTCATCCTGTGAGTGAACACACCGTCACAGTGACAGTGTTGGGCTCCGTCACTCATCCTGTGAGTGAACACACCGTCACAGTGACAGTGTTGGGCTCCGTCACTCATCCTGTGAGTGAACACACCGTCACAGTGACAGTGTTGGGCACCGTCACTCATCCTGTGAGTGAACACACCGTCACAGTGACAGTGTTGGGCTCCGTCACTCATCCTGTGAGTGAACACACCGTCACAGTGACAGTGTTGGGCACCGTCACTCATCCTGTGAGTGAACACACCGTCACAGTGACAGTGTTCACAATGCCCTGAGGGGTGGGGGCGGGGGGAGAAGAGAGAGAGACTCGGTATTAAGAAGAAAACATCACTGTGTTGTCCATCGTGTCAACTGTACCGTGACACAGCTGGGACTCACCAAACAAGGAGCTTCACATCTATCAACCACCAAACAAGCAATCAATCACCTCACGCGCAAAAGAAGCCGAACACTGCCACTGACAGACTACTCAGTCACAGGAAGGTGCAATATTAGAATGTATAGAGTGTAGCCCCCGACACACACGCGCACCAGGCCAACGTGATCGGTGTATGGACAGGACCAGTCGGGTGCTTCGTATTCCCTACTGCGTCTCCGGTGGACAGGCTGCCACTAAGGAAGTGTAAGTTCATACCGTTATGCTCAATCAAACCAGCCACTTCTCCTGATTTGCCACTCCGGTCAAAATCCGACCTCCTAACCGAACCGGAAGCGTAAATGCCCAAGTAATCCGAGTACTGGGAATATTACACATTGCACCCAATCCGCTCCCCTCAGCCGTCCCCACCGGAATACTCGTCCCCTGTACGGGAGGTCAACGAGTGGAATGTACTGAAAGAAGTTGTGGAAGCCACCTCCATCCACAACTTTAAGGACAGATTCTAGCCTTAGAGAATAGTAAAAAGAGTTAAACTACTCTTAAGTAAGAATAGTTAAACTATAACGCAACAGGTGTGACAAGGAGCGAGCGAGGGAGCCGGTCGGCCGAGCGGACAGCACGCTGGACTTGTGATCCTGTGGTCCTGGGTTCAATCCCAGGCGCCGGCGAGAAACAATGGACAGAGTTTCTTTCACCCTATGCCCCTGTTACCTAGCAGTAAAATAGGTACCTGCGTGTTAGTCAGCTGTCACGGGCTACTTCCTGGGGGTGGAGGCCTGGTCGAGGACCGGGCCGCGGGGACACTAAAAAGCCCTGAAATCATCTCAAGATAACCTCAAGATAACAAGTGTAACACGGTGTAGTAGGCGGGGAACAAGGACATACGCCTCACTTTCCCAGTGTCACTGACAGGTAAGGACTCTCCGCATGGTTCTAGATCGCGTGGCCAGAAAGGTTCCCTTAAGGGCCTGAGAGCGGAACACTGAGTTACCCTCACGACGAGTCAGCACTGTTATCCTCGACCATCATGCAAACACACACTCGACATCCCCGCCCCCCCCCCTACGTCCCTCACTTCTTTCCCCTCAGAAGGGGACGACTTCCACCACCGTCCCTCACTCCACAAGAGAGGACAAAGTCCATCAGTGTGACATGGCGTAACACCGCTGCTGTCCACCTGGTGCACTTTATGTTAGCCTTGAATATAGTGAGAAAGGGAAGAGTTCATATGCCCTCAGGGGTCTGGTATGCCTTCAGGAACTACCAGGCCCTCAGGAACAAATCCACAAGGGCCGTGACGAAGATTCGAACCTGCGTCCGGGAGCATCCCAGACACTGCCTTAATCAGGTTGTGGCCCTCACGTTCTGGTATACCTTCAGGGACTACCTTCAGGGATCTTCAGGGACCTTCAGGGACTACCTTCAGGGACCTTCAGGGACTACCATGCCCTCAGTCTGGTAAACCCCCCACAATGTTGACGGTTCGGTTGGTGGTGTTAATAATGCGGTATAATAGGTGATCAGAGTAAAATATAGAGGGTTAGGCAGGGTGATGACCCAGACATCGGAATTTGTTGGGATAAAAAGAAGATGAATGTATGGTTGTGGTGTGGGATAGAGGGGGGGATGATCAGACCGTGGGAGTGGGAGGGGGTTGAGAGGGGAAATGAGTGACACAAGTGTGGGAGTGTGTGGGAGAGCTGGGAGAGGGGTGGCACAGGTGTGGGAGAGTGTGGTAGAGCTGGGAGGGGGTGACACAGGCGTGGGAGAGTGTGGCAGCAGGGGTTAGCATGGGGGAGGGAGGGAGGGAGGGTGCAGGTGTGCAGTAATCCTGGCTGGCACAGGTCCAGGAGAGTGTGGCACCAGAGGCCGTGTGGAGCCAGGCTGGCCTCTCTACACACCGGTGCCTCAACACTCACTGACCAGCGGCCCCACCTCCGCAACACCACCTCCCACCGAACACAACATAACCACAAAGGATACCTGTTCAACCAGGCTGTGAGTAGCCGCGTCCAACGATCTGGTTGGCCAAACCCCCCTAACCAGGAGCCCAGGTCAGAGACCGGGCCATGGGGACGTCGATCCCCGGAACCAACAAGAGGTAGGTAGTACTAATCCGTGCCTACGAGGAAGTGTGGTCTTCTCTACTAGCCTTCTTGAACCTGTTGCTTCATAATTATCCTAAAAGTAGAAATTCCCTGTTGAATCTATCTTGAAAGCTGGGAGGGAGGGAGTTATGAGGAGAAAGCGCCAAGCCATTATATCTATATAGCACTTGGAAGGGGTCAGAATAAGGATTTGGGATGGGACAAGGAAGGAAGGAATGGTGCCCAACCACTGGGACGGTCGGGGATAGAACGCCGACCTGCATGAAGCGAGACCGTCGCTCTACCGTCCACCCCAAGTGGTTGGGAGTGGAGGTGGCTTTCACAACTTCTTTCAGTATACTCCACTAGACAGGTCGTACATGTTCAGGCTAATGTGCAAAGATGAACGATGCCTTGGATTCATACTAACGGATAAAATAGTCATTATTCACTCGACAATTCCCAACAAATACACAAATGTAACCATAGCGTTATTTGTTGCATCATTTTGACGTTGATACAACGGGGTAGTAACGTTGTTACGACGTCGGGGTTAACGTCATGGTTCAGCTCGAGAGAATTCCAACAGACCACGTTGGCATTACT